GACATAGAGCTGGCTTTCATGGCCTGGAAACAGTTTATCTGAAATGCTCTTACTCTAATACATAATGTTTTACTTAAAAACAATTGTCCAGTCTTTTAATTACCTTTTTCATTGCTTCCTAGGGAACTAACTGCAAGCCAAATCACATTCATTGAATTTAAATTGTTTGGATCTGAGAGACCTTTTCTTGTGGGCTTTTCAGAGGTCTGGTACTGTGGAAGTTATCTGGTAAGAAACGGTGTTTCCCAGGAACCATACCTTCAGATTGCTGTGGCTCTTTTACACTTGATCATTAGATGAAGGCAGCAGAATCAAATGTGGAATTCAGCTTGACAGCTGTCTGTAAGCAAAATCTTCAATACTGAGTCTATCCATTGTAAATGGACATTTCCTTTTGTTTTCATGAAATCTCCTGTACCTTCATTCCCTCCTCAGCTACAATCTCCACTCCAAATTGCTGTTGATCTCAAATCACATCAGTGTGCATGGTTCCTCCTCCTGGATGGCAAGTGGTTGAACAGTTTATGGATGCTGAGTTTGAATTCAGTGACTGCAAAACGTGGAGAGAGATCTCCTGTCTGAAGACAAAGTTTGGAGAGCACTTCAGTCTCTTGTTGCTGAAGTGATGGAATTTGAAGTGTCTAGAAATGCATCAGCTTTTCAGTCATTCTACCACTCCAGATGCCTACATGTCACACTTGTTTTAAACACAACAACTGTGCAAAGGGACACCATGTCTCAGGAAGGAGGAACAGCTTCTAATTTCCATAATTCTCTTTGTTTTGCAGTGATTTCCTTTTCGGCTTCATGTAACGGGGCAGCAAAGAGAGTTTATAATCTGATTGAGGTGTGAGCAGTGTCTCTTGCTTGACTTACAGAACAGTTCAGTTTGACTCCAGAGCTGGTCAGTTCAAACTCTGCAGTTCAAACTCTGCATTCAGAGCATTATTGATACAAAAGCAAGCTTCTCATGTAGGCAGCTATTACTACCCAGTGCTATTACTACAAGCAATGTTTAACCCAGCAAAAATCCCAGTCAGAAGATGGTTTAAAATGGCCAATTCCTTTGCAAAGGTATAAATCTCCAGCAATCAGTGGAGACTTAAATTCATAAACAATATACACACAGACAAATAAAAAATAAAATTTAAAAAAGGCAAAGAGGCTTCACTATTTGCCTGCACATATAGTGAAAAAGATGCCTGAAGGAAAGGACTTGTACTCATGTGATGTGATTGTAGAGGAGCAGGAGGGTCAGAGGAGGCAGCAGGAGGTATCATCTCCTCCTCCTCCTCCTCATAAAAGAAGGCAAAGCTGAAGTTCTCAGGAACAGTGAAAAGATTCTTGATGATTTTATAAGAAAAGTGGAAGAATAAATAAGTAAAAGTGCCAGTGTCTTGAAAGGTTCTCAGGCAGCAGCCCCTGCTGCTTAGCCTGATGCTATGCCATTAATATGGAAAGCTTGCAACACATCCTGTGGCACTCCACTGGCAGAAGGCAACCTCCCAGCAGCCAGCCTTGTGCAGCCAAGGTTCAGCTCTGTGATTCTGGGGAGCTGACAAACATCCCCAGCCCAGCAGGAGTCCCTTTCTGAAGGAAGGGAGAGCAGCAGGGAGTGCAGGCTGCAGCAAGGCTGCCTTCAGGAAGCTCATGCCATCAGCTGCTGGCACGTGATGTCTGTAAGTGAGCTGGGATGTTGGCAATGGGTGTTTCTGTATCTCACAGCCAGCAAAGTAAGTGGGGTTTGGAGTAGGTCTGAACCTCCTTGCATGAGGCACATAGTGATTTTGGGAATTCTATTAAACTTTTCAGGTATCCCACTCACAAGCAAAATTTGTGCCTTAAATCCAGTTTGTCTCTCAGCCACATGCAGTTCTTGCAGATTTCAGGACTGCAATTCTGAGTGCTGGTGGAAAAAAACTTGGCTTACAGAACAATAACACCATCATTCAGTGGTAAATCATTACAAGAGGCTGACATGACCCTTCACTGGGTCACGGATCTGAAATAATTCATTAAACATTTTTAACTGTTCACTCAAATTAACAAAAGAATGGGTAAATGTAGAGGCTGAAGTTAACAATAGCTGAAATCATTCTTGTTGTATAGATCCAGATCCACAGTAATGTAGGCACTTGGCTCTGATGAAATCATCTCTGTGATGTTAACTGTGATGGACCAATCTCTATAGAGTTATGCTATCATGTCTAACATGAATTCCTACACCTCTCCATGTGCAAACTGAAAGCCATGCTAGGGAAATAAAAAGTTCCCCTGTGGACTATAATGATAACAAACAAAAGAGATTGGCCCTGAGGCACTTCCCCCTCCAAATGACTGCCCATTTGAAGTACTGTATTGACAGAGTTCCCTCATTCCTCACTTAGAAACTTCAGGTCAGACCTTATTTTAGAAGCTGAATTGGAGGTTGTTTGAAAAGGTGAGTTCTGACATGACTTTATTTTCTGAAGCCTGAGAAAAGACAGGTTTGCAAACACTGCCATAGTGCTTTCTTAAGCAGAGACAGCTCTTTTGTTTCCCAAAAGCATAATGTGGTTGGTCTCCCTGAATGCAAGTTAAAACAGAAATCTAAACTAGCTGAGAGAAGAAATTGCATTAGTGTAATTAGAAGTGTTCAGAAATCCTTTTCTGGTTCTCTAGGTACATGAGAGGACAGAGTAGGAAACAGAAAGTAGGAACAGGAGGGTGTTCAGCTTCTGGATATTATGCTACATTGTTCCCTGAGTAAGACAAAGGTGGAAGATGCTGCTTTGCAAGGCAGCAGAGGAAAGCAGTGGCATGCATTTCCCTCCCCCAGATATTTAATTGCACACCAGCAAGAGCTACCTGAGCCAGTTCTCAAAATAGTACAACTCTAAAGACTTACATAGAGAGGGCATCTATCTCCTTAATATCACACCCTTGGAGATGGAAATTATTTGATTTTTTTCATTTAAATTCCTTTCAAGGGGAATGTTGCCAGCTCCCAAAGACCTAGTGTTTACTGAGAAATTAAAGTTGTCATTTTTAGTCTCTCAGATGTCAGTGAAAGTTAAGGAAAAGGCTGGCTTGTTTACATTCTTAGCATGATGGTGGAGAGTAGCCAGCATTAAAAAGTTCATCTTTCCTACTCTTTCTCACATTGCATGATGAAAATTGAAATAAAATCAATTCATCTCCAGGAAGATATGTAAGATTTTGTCAAATGAGCACAGTACCCAGGTCATTTAGATATCCTCAGTGACTGCTTGTGACAGCAAAAATTCATGAAGAATGCATGTGCTTTGAGCATATCCAGAGAGACATGAGTCCATCCATTTAGTAATTGTACTTTACAGTCTGCTGGAGCATGAACTGCCCTATGCAGTGTCACAGAGACAAATCCCTGCATAACCTCCTCTGGATTATGCCAAGACATCTGAACATTGGAAACCCCAGCACAGATCATCAGCTCTCAAAAACTGGCATAAGGGAAGGCCTCTCTGAGCCCCAGAGACTGGCTAAATGCAGCCCTGCAACCCAAGGAAGCACCTGCCCATCCTTTTTGCAATCTGTGTCATCTGCATGCCGGGCTCCAGCTTAGATAATTAAACTGAATAAATATTTCATCAATCATTTTTCTTAGAGGAGGGGTGACCTGTCCCAACTCACTGGGAGGGCAGTGAAATATGACAGCGATCTAAGCAATGCAATTCTCTAGAAGTTGGGGTGGGGGAGGGCACTAGTGGAAAGATTAAGAAGCCCATTAAGTCCTTATTCTGAATTTTAACTCCCTTTTAAAAAAATAACTTCAGAAGCTACTTTTTAAGTCACTTAAAGGAAGAAGTTGCAAAAGAAAAGCAAGACTGAAAGTGTTGTATTATTCTGAAGGAATATTGGTAAATTTTGGTTCATTAATGCCTTATACTTTGAAGGACTGCTAAGTCTTTGAGAGTTGAGGCAAAACCTGTGCACCAGAATCCTTTCATCAGCTAACCCAATGCAACTGTTTGACTGCATTCATCTACTACAAATGAGGCTTTAGGCTTAAAAGTAAGGAAAATTATTATCCATGATGGAAACTCCAATCAGGAGTCTATGGACACAATCCCCTGTGTTGATGGCTTTTATAGCAATCCAAAGACACCCAGGTATGAGACATTACTGTTCTATGTCCAGAAATTATTAAGAAACTATAGGATTCATCAGAAAAAAAGAAAAAAAAAAGTTGCTTGCTGAACTGTAACAATTCAAGCTGTTTAACTTCCATCCTGAATCTTTCTTGGAGATCTGCCAGAATCTCTTGGTATCACAGTTACTCAAAATGTTTGGGTAGAGGAAAAGATGCAGATAGTCCTTGCTTACAATATAAACAATATATGTTTTGTAAGCAAGGTTTCCTCATGATGATTGAAAGTTTAAACTAAGAGAAGAAGCAGATGCAACAGATATAAACATTATATATTTTACAAGCTGAGATATCCTGCATTCACCCTGTCTTGTGCACTGGAGTTGCTGTGGTGAGATTGAAGGGTTTTCTTTTGCAAAGAAAAGATCCTGATCCAAGCAATGAGGAAACTGAAGGCTGAAGCAGCAATTATCTTCTAGGGTAGTAGGTTTTTAGTTGCCTGGCAAATTGCAACACCATCCCATCAAAGTGCATCCATGGGGAGAGATTTTCATGCAGTGCTTTCACATTCTACCTACATTGTCCCTGTCTGGCTTTACCAGTAACTCCTGAATTAACTATTTTTATGGAACTCAGAGAAACTCCATTTAAAATGGGACCCTGATTTATCTTTACTCCACCCTCCTGCTGTGCTTCTGGATTTGGGGATGATTTGGTTGTCTTGATATCAACAAACAGTTTTGGATAAAACACGTTTCTCATTTTCATAAATAAGGATTTCCACAGATCTGAAAAGAGTTAGCTAATCAAAGTGCTTATTCAGGCATACTTGCTTGCTTGAACTGTATGTTGGGTACTCAGTTATATACCTTGCACATACATATATGGATACCTTTACAGTCTTGGTCCCGTGATGATCCTCCCCAGTTCTGCTGGTTAAGCCCATTGTGAAATAGAGAAAAAATGTGGCAGAAGGAGTTCTCTCTTCTGCAGGAAAAGAACAGTAGAGAAAAATAGAGAAGGTTACAGTTGTGTCAGCAAAACTGAATACTAAATTTCCAAAACTTGTTCACTATGGCCATTTACACAGGACTGACTCCTCGCATATAACATGAAGCTACCCTTGCAACAGACTTTTGTCATAACATGGATATAGAAAAAAACAAACTTATCTACTTGATCACTAGCAGAGTTTTGTTTCAGCATAAAGATTGAAAGAATGCGGATCTATTCACTGGGAACAAGGGAATGTTTTGATCAGTGGGTTGGTTTTATTAACAATAACAGTTTAAAAATTATATTTCATTATAAGTAATTTATATTATTATATATCATAATATACAATAATATAAATAATATTTAATAATCTGTATTATTAATGTATTGTACTATATATTATTATTTATATTATATAATAGATTAGATTAGATTAGATTAGATTAGATTAGATTAGATTAGATTACAATATATTTGCTGTTGTTGTTACCATTATTAGTAGTGGTGGTGGTTGTTGGTTTGCTCCTTTTCTTCTTTTTAAGTGAAAATGCATCAGGAAAAAGCAAAGCTATGGAAAGACACAAAACAAGGGTCTGGTGAATGTTCTGCTTTCTTCCACCCATGATAAACAGGCAAGTTTACTGTGCAGGGCTTTGCTGAGTGAGAACCAAACAGCTTTGGAGTCTTGTGTGTAGTTCAGTGGTTCATCCAGGCTGTGGTAATCTGTACAGGCTCATGTTGCCTTGTCAAGTTTGGGATTTGTACTTCACACCAGTGCTGCACCGAGACTCTTTGGAAACTCTGCCTATACAAATAATTCAGAGCAACAGTCCCTGTCCCTGGTTCTAGATCCTCTGGGAGGACTTTGGGAACATTCTTGCTGATGTCTGTGGGAGCAGGATCACGTCCTGTGACCTTACCAAGTTTCCTATGCTTCTCATTCTCCCCTCATTTAAAAGCCACTTATGAGATTTAACTCAAACTTTCCAAATAATTTCGCTTTTAAATATAACCAAGCCTGGGAAAATTTCTTTTTACAATGGGAAATTTGGAAGTTTTATCTCTGCAGAAAAAAATACTGAAACAAGACGGTATAATGCAAGCTGTTATAAACCTTCATTCTTGTGTTTCTGTTAGCAACAGAATGACAAAAAACAAAGCCAATGAATTATTGGAAAGAGATACTTCCAGATACGAAGCGAGACATTAAAATGAAGTAATTTCTATTTTTCAGGGTTGGGATTTGTGAAGCAAGAATATATATTTGTTAGACTGGTGGGAAAAGATTTTGACTGGCTGTGATGAAATGTGTGCACAGCACACAGGTACCTAGGAACAGAAGGAACACGAAAGGTTTTTTCCATTGCAATGCATCTTGCTTGAATAGGCAGCTGGCAGCACGCTGCTCAATTTCTAGGGCCATTGGTTGGGCAAAAGGTAAAATGAAAGCCTCTTTTTTGATCTCCAAACACTAAGATGTTCATGTTCTTAGGGCACAAAACTTTGACTAACATAAATAGCCTTAGAGATAACAGTCAGTGTTTCATCTCCACCTGGGGAAATTCAATGCTTATTTGAAGAGTTTTTTTTTCATTTTCGTTTGTTCTACTTTCAGGAGAAGGACCCAATTCTGCTGTGGCACTTATTTAATATAACTGTTTTTAAGTGACTTCTTGCAGTTTTCATGTTTGTTTGAGATTTTAAAATGTTAAAGAAAACAGTGTAGAGCTTTTTATTCTCTTTGTCAGCATGAGAAAAAAAATCATTAGATTTAGAATTCTAAATGAGAAGATACATCAAGGAGAAAATAGGCCACTAGTCTAAAGAAAAAGGATGTGATACTTACACTCTTGGAAGGACTGGAAAAAAATAAAAACATTCCTCATACACAAACCCTTTAAGGCATTATGAATAGATCTTTAAAAATTCATTTAATTGAATTCAGACTTTCGAATTCCAGCCTGAGGTGACTTGGATTTCTTTGTTAAGTACATTTAAACAAAACTCTTTTTATGTTCTCCTAAACTAACAAGAATGAGGAAAAAAAATTAGAAATGTGAAATTGCAAATTCCTTTGACCCTAAAGGTCTTCAAATCTGTTTTTAAAGAAAATCTATCTATTAGTCTTCTCCAAAATTGCAGATTGAGAAAATGAAGGAGCTACAAGAACAGTGGCTTTGTACAAATGGATGACATTTTCATCATTACTTTTTTTCTTGTTGACTTGGACTTTCTTTTCCTGCAGAATCAAGTAGAACGAAAGGAACTGAAGCTGTTCTTCTGGTCTCTTGAGCTCTCTTTCCCTGGGTTCTCACCGTGCCTAGAGGGAATTTTGCACACTGGCTGCCAAGTCCTGGGGCCCCCAGGCAGTGAGGGTACCCCCTCCTGCTCCACGCAGCTCTGGTGGGATGGGGAGTGGGGTGACAATCACAAACTCCTGCACTCTCATTTCCAAGCCACCAACGCAGGCACTGAGCTCTGCTCCATCTGTCCCATCAAAGCTGCAAGCCTTCCCCTCTCCAAATCACCAGCAGAACACTTGGACGTGCTGCAGCAATACGTGAACAGCAAATTCTCCAAAGGACTCCAAGGGTCTGTTCATCATCTCAACGTTGATTGCTGCGGTCTAATCTCAGCCTGCATTCTTCTGTCCAGGAGGAAAACTTTATGATGGGATATCCTGACCAGAGAAGTTATGTCACCTAATTTTGAATGTCAAAAATAAATTGTTGCTCCAGTCCTGTACTTCATCACAATGTCATAGCCAAAATCCAGAGCTCAGAGACAAAGAAAAGAGACATGGTACCTGAAGAAGGTAATTTCTCTCAAATCTTGCTCTGCCTGCATCTCTCCATTAGCTACTGGATCATACACATCTGATGGGCAGACCCAAAACAGACCTGATCTGGCTCAGCATGAGAAGCCAGTGGTTCAAGGGTCTCCACAAAGCTCATGCCCAGAGGGAGCTGGAAATCTAGCAGCAATTAGTCTTCTGCTTCAAATCAAGAAGGAATGGTGACTTTGATGGGATTACAGCTGGATTCAATTAAAATGTTTTCTAAATCTGGTATTGTCCCTCCTTTTGCTACATACCAAGATGTCCACTGAATACCACTAGCCCTGGATCCCTTCTGGACACTTTCCTCAGCTGAAGCCAAGGCCTGGCAGTAGAAATGCAAGAGAATTTGTTTAATTATCTTTGCCAGTATATTGCAACACATTACCCTAACTGACAACATTAAAAAAAAAATATATTATAATTCATAGTGATATCTCACAGAATTTTTACTTTGATTTCAATTAATGGATATTATTAGTTCAATTGGTTGTTGTTATTACAGGACTTTTTGTTATTTGCTGAAAGTATTTGACTTGAAATTCTAGAATATTGCTTTGGGGCTTTTTATCAGTCCTTTTTTATACTAGTTCTTAAAAGCTTTCAAAGAATTTTGCTTTTTAGATTACTCAAAAAAATTTACTTTCTCCTACCAGATGTATGAAAAAAAGCTTCTTATGTAGTCCTTCTTCTGTGTTTAACTGTATTATTTTTATTTATCTTCTTAAGACTAAAATAAAGAGTATTTTTTAAATATATATTAAAATAAGTGTCTACTTGCATGGAGGTAGAACTTAAAGCCAAACAATATTTAGCAACCAAAACTCTTTTTGCTGCTATTTTGTATGTGTCAGTTACAAATTCTTGATGAAAGAGCATAAGAAACTAGAAATAGAGACAGTGAGAGTCTTTCTGGCATCTCATCCCCAGAGTTTGTGTTACAGCTTTCTGTGGGAATATATACAGAGAGATGAACAAATCTGTGCTCCATTCTGTCACCATCCATTGGGAAACCTCTGCAGTAATTTAAGAGCCTGAGAGGTTCAGAAGACTGGAAGGAAATCTTTGGAGGGATTTGGATGCGCAGCGAAGCTATTTTATCATACCAAGAAATGCACGCTGCTTTATATTTAATGTCTTGAATATTAAAGATACACACATTACAGGCAGTTTGTTCATAGTGTGATAGTGTGACCACACACACACACACATTTTTCCTGCTTGAGCAGAAGACCTTTTTTTATATTAAAGATGTGTTTTATGTGGATTACTTTCCCTTAATCATAAAGTTCAACCAGAAGTCGAAATGTTTTAAAATATGACAAGTTTCAAAAGTATTAATGAAGAAACGGAGCCAAAAAAAAATGAAAAGTAGTAATTATTTAAGCCACATATTGCACAAAATTTCTAAGCTAAACTATAACAAAAAAGAACTAATTCAAAATAAAGAAATTGCTGGTCTTAAGGTGAAAGTTAATACAAAAAGATTACTGTGATATTACTTCAATATATAATAACCAATCCATATTTATGGGTGAACTAATTTAGACACTGAAAGAAGATGTCTGATAATAAATTTAAAATAGAAAAATAGATCAGAGAAAGTGTCTGTGAAAATATTTCTGAATCATTAACTAATTTTAGATTGCCCCAAAATGCCTCTTATTTTGTAAGTATTGTTGTTTGTTGTTGCTGTTGCTTCTTTTTTCCTTTAGTGCTTTCCAGTCAATTTGTCTTAAACCCATACATGAAGACTTCTGAGAGGAAGTGTTATTGGTCCATTTTAGAATTAGATGAATAAAGCCATGGAGCTGCCATTTTGGGGACCCTAGAAGACTAGCAGTTATTTCTCCCTAAATGCTGATGGTCATTTAGGTCTCCCACTCCTTTATGAGCCACCTGTGGAGGAGCAGCATTCCCATCATGTGCACAAACCCTACACACACAAGTAACTGTGAGAAAGCAGCATCTGCCAGCTCCAAATGGTTTGCAAGTGTGAGGATGTAATTTGTCTGGGTAAGTGCAATTGAGGGAGTGCAGGTGCACTTTATGTTTACTTATATTCATGCAGTACATTTGCACAACACCAGGGACCCTGTCTCATTACACTAGTGAAGTTATTACATTTGAGAACAGTTGTTGAACAAAGTGTGTGACCTAAGACCAGATGTACGGACAAATGTAAATACCCAGGTCCTCCAAGACATCTCTGAGCTGCTGCCTAACACAGAGATTTCTCATTCCTGCTTGTTTTAAAATCCTCAGAAGTGAAGCTCTGAAATGTCTCTAAATGCTGGTTCAGGTCATGTGAGCTGCTGAACACACGAGCAGAACCAGCACATTCCTCCCCAACCCAGAGAACTGGCTCGGGGCAGGACTCCCATCTGGGGCACCTCACCCAAGCTTTCCCATTTCTCATCAAGAGTCAGGCTCAAACCCTGGCTACATTCAGGCAAGGTGGGATGCTGGATCTGGGCCTGGGTGCTTTTGTATTCCTGGACAAGGGTACAAGGTGAGAAGAGCTGTCCTCTTTTCTCTCATTTCACCCATGAGAAGAGATGGCATTCAGACAATTCCCTTCCATGAGCTACATGTGCTAAATAGGATGTGAGCTCCTTCTTAGCCACACATCTGAGCTGCTGGCAGATAAAATTAAGTCCACATTTACCCACTCAGTGTTTCTACCAGCAAAGGGCAGTTGCAAACGGGGTGTGGGTTTGTAACTCTCATTTATTCCTTACACATCTTACAGACAATTGGATGCCTAATTCAGGAAGCTAGAAGCACACGAATAAGGTTAAACAAATTAACTTATGGGACCCTACCTACAGATCATTTGCTGCTTTCTTGGTGTTCTAGAAGTACCAGAATTAGCCTGTCAGAACTGATTTTAGGGCAGGAGCTCTGGAGTTCAACTACAACACCTGCCTGTAATCACAGCACTTTGCTGTGCTCATCATGCACTCATTACTAGAGCCAAAAAGTCTGCACTTGACAAGGCCCATCAGCTGGCCCTGTTAAGCCAAGATCCCTGCAGAAGACCTGCTCAGAGTGATGTCAAGTAGTGGCCTCAGACAGAACCACAATATTCTGAGTTCTTTAATTCCTACCCCATAAAACATCATTTTTCAAGAGAACTGCATGTCCAAGATAGCTCTCAGCCTTCTGAAAAAAGGTCTTAATGAGAAAACCAAGAGTCCCTTCAGTGGAATTACATTTGAAAATGGAAGCACAGCAAGGCAATTTGCCTCAGTAACTAATTTCTGATGTCTGTAACTAGAAGCATCAATACTTCAGCAGCCACTGCTTTAGATAATTGGAAATTAGGATGATTCTTTCACAGAAACTGGTGTAAAGGCTGACTCAGCCTGGATTTCCACACTGTGGGTTCCTTTTTAGTGTCAAAATGAAAAGACTTGTGGAAGGATTTTCTACCCATGAATCAGAGGAAATAATTCATTATTGCGTTCAACACAGAAAAAAAATCTATTGCAAAAGAGGTAGGAGACTGTGTTTAATCTGAGCAAAGGTTGCTCAAAGTTTGTTTAAAAAAGAGGAGCTTAAAATGTTCTGGCCCTTTCAACCATTAAAAATTCATTAGTGTTGCCAAGGTAGCCTGAAAACTTCAGGGTGCACAGTGTCTTAATTTGGTTATGTCTGCACACTTTTGGCAAGCTATGTTATCTCTTAGCAACCTGCTCTGTTATCATTTATTATCATTTCACAAAGTGGAAAGCACTGCATACACTGGCAATGTCTGAAGAAGTGTGAGTGATACTTTTCAGAGGATATATGAACTTTTCCATCAGATTTTAGTACATGGAAGCTCAAATCTTTATGCTTCCCTAGGACTTTGATAAAGAGGCTGAGAAAGCTTGTAAACCACAGACTATTTCCTTCTTAAAAAGAACTCCCTTAGCAGAATAAATCATTATTATTAATATGCAGGTAATCAGCAGCATAGCCTCCAAGGAAACCACAATGTCAGACAATACTTTCAAGGTACTTTAAAACTGACACACTTACAGCTCTTACCTTTTTGAGGCAGTAGAGCAGAACTGCAGACATGGCTAGGTAGCAGTTTCTCTTCTTAGAAGTATTTAGGGCTGCAATAGAGGAAGTTTTTCTTCTTTGTGCAGCTTTCTTCCTGCAGTTTGTGGCTGTGACAATGCCAGCAAATCTCCTGCACAGAGGGAGGCTTGGAGAAGCTGGGTCCAGAGTGTTCCCACTCACCTAAATCCAAGGCTGTGCTCCTGGGTATTTCAGTGAACTCTCAAAGCAGCCTCAACAAAGAGTGATGGGAACCATCAGTACCGTTCCCTCTGTTCTCCTTTTCCACTGCTTTATTATTCACCTCTACTTTACACCATGATTTTCAGATTTGAAGTTTAGCCTGGGGGACTCTGTTTTGCTGCCTTGCAAGTTAATGAAATTTTGCACATTGGCAGTTTTCCTCTTTGGGCTGCTGAGACCTGTAATACACAAACACAGATTTACCCGGGGGGAGGAAGCAGCCAGAGGTCAGTGTCCTCCACACTCACTCTCCTTGCAGCACCATCTGCTTCAAGTCCCATCACAAGCAGAGGGCTGTGCAGATTAATAGTCGCTTTTGGCAATAATGAAGGGACCCCACTCTAGCACAGGTGTCCCCGTACATACTGAGGAGCTAGAGCAAAGCATACCACTCCAACATGAATCTGCATGGTCCGGTTTAGGATCAGGGATCTTTTCTTATAATCCCAATTGCTCCCTGAATTTTGTTTTGCTGGCATTTCACAGAAGACACCTTGATTATCATTGGCATTTCAAATGTAAAACAAATGGTGTTGCAAAATAGTCAAGAATAAATCACTCTCCACATACAAATGACATAAAATTGAGCAAGTCAGCTGAATAATAATTTGTACTAAAAAGAATTTTCTACTCTTTCTTTTATGAGCATTATCTGCATGACTGTCTGTAGATACATACGTAAAGTAAATATTATTAAATGATTTCTCATGTCTTTATACAGCATTATCTTTTCTATCTGAAATGAAGTCACTGTGTTTTCCCTTCATAATTTCCCCTTTCTTTTGTGTTCAAGAGCGATATGAGAGCATCTAAGAGATTTTGCTTAATTGTAGGTTTCACTCCAGCAATTTTTCAATCTGTCTGCCTCCATTTTAATATTTATAAAACATTAGCCATGGTAGACTGTAGATTCAGTTCATGCATTTTTGGACCCTACATATTTCAAATTAAGGAAAACAATAAACAAAAATAGTATTCCTTCAACAGTTTCTTTTTTGAAACTATGATTTTGCTAGCTATCACAAAAGCAATACTCCCACAGAAGCTGAAGTAGGAGAAATAAGACATAATATTCCACCAAGCACAACCCAAGGGCAGTGGATGTCACCACTGCCAAGCAGATCAGACACTCTTTGCAGAGAAATGCAGGTGCTGCAGGACCCTGATGTTGTGGTGATGAGAGCATACCTTGCTGTAGTAATGCTGATAAAATATACTGAGAACATCAGGAATTTTTTTTTTTTTAATTCATACAGGATGACCTCCAGAACATCAATGCAATGTTTTAAAGCTCACTGAAAAGCTCTGATATCACTGACCATTGCATCAAGCTGAGGACTGGTCATTCTCAGTGAATGGGCTATTGCAGAAAAATTTCAGTCCAACCTGGCTGATGGCTCCCATGTGGTTCTGTGTAAGTTATCTCCAGTGGCTCCTGGCTGCCAGGACCTGGTCTCAGAAGCAGTCCTGTCTTCATGCACTGCTGTCTGTACTGTCCTCCTGAATCACAGCTTTCTAGACCATTTTGGCAATACTCCTTAGCATGTAATTATTTTCCCAAAACTAAAAAAGGAGATGAGTAAATCCTAATGAATTTCAGCACTAGAACCCTGTATTTTTCTGGTCTTCCTCCTAAATCATAAGAAGGAAGAAATTCTTTATGATAAGAGATGTTAGGTTGCCCAGATGGTAGATGCCCCATCCATGGAAATACTGCAGGTCAGGATGGACAGGGCTGTAAGCAATCTGATCTGGCTGAAGAAGCTCCTGTTCACTGCAGGGGAGTTGGACTGGATGGCCTTTCAAGGTTCCTTCCAACTCAAAGTATTATATGATTGTCTGGCATGCTCCTTTGGGTGTCCCAAAGGCTACATCCACTGGTCTAAATGAACACACATTCCATGTGCACTGCAGCATTTCATTAATCCAGCAGGGATGGAGGACGGGCCAAGCTCCATGTGGGAGTTATAAAGTTATGCTCAAAGGAATATGGCAAGATTCAGATTTACAGCAATGTTCTCAGTGTTCTTCAAGCTTTGCAAAAGCAGGATTCACTGTTTTATTTTGTGAGGAGATGCTGAACAAAATTGGGTTTTATCTCTAATTTTATATTGAAGCATCATTATTACATCTCTACAAAACAGTTCTCATTAAGTAAAAGAGTGAACGGACAGATGTCCTAATAATAGCTTGATTTGAAGTGCAAAGTGGGTTGAAGTACTCAGCATGCCATCTTCTAATCAGGAATGAAGGTTTTAATGCAAGGCTTCCTGACAATCACAATTTTGTAATGCTTACATAAATGGCTCTGTAGATGTGTGTATGTTTTTTTAATTTACTGCGTGGGCAAAGGAATGTATTTCCTGGTGATGCAAAATAGGGTCTGACTACAAATGCAGCAAGGGCTCTCTGCCCCTGTGAAAGAATTTGGGTGATCATAGCAGAAAGCCCCCTAATTTACAGAAATATCTTGTAGTTTGGAGCACTCCAGGACTCCATCTGCCTGCACCCTGAAGTAACCTCCTTGCACCTTGAACTCTCAGGGACAGCTCATGTAAAAGGTCCCATTTCAAGTTACCTTTGACTCTGTGTCCTCAGGAGACAGAGGCACAGACAGGATACACAGATTAGGCAGATGTTCTTCATCTCACTTACCTTCACACACAACCTTCTCTTCCCTGCCCCTCTCTAGATAATTGGAAGTTATCTAGAAAGTTATTGAAAGACCATAGCCAAATCAATAAATGATTTATGGTTCTTCCCTCAGCCACACTGTTGAGCTGCACTGACAGGCCTCTCAAACTTCTGAAAAATTAGAAAAAAGAAAAAAATTGCTCTCCATTACATTGTGTCAATGGAACAATGAGTAACAATAAGGAAAATAGGATAAATATTGCATCCCAAAGTATTTTCAAGCTCCATTTTTGATAGGTTGATCAAAGACCATTCCAGAAGTCCTGTCCATCTTAATTCACTAATATTCTAGAAGTCCTCTAGAAGGATGAAAGGAGCAAGATACATGTCAGATGGTCTTACCACTAAAGTAGATCAAGAAAAATCTGTGGCAGCTCCACAATACTTCTTCTGGTTAATGCTTAGTCAGGAGGAGAAGTCTGGCTGCAGGGTCTTTGATCCATGAATATATTTGCAGTAATTGGGGTCATGGCAATTCCTGTAGCTAATGCAATTTAAAAGGCCAAAGTCAGTAACCCCTGAGTAATTTGGGCTGTTACTGAGCAAATGACACGCTTTGGAGCAATGGCATAATGTCAATTACATGAGGTGAAATCTAGAGGTGAATATTTGTAGGAACAAATAAGAGCTCAATCAAAACTTGGGATAAACCATTACAAGTTTAGTCCAAATTCCCAGATCTGGTCAGTTTATTGCTCACCAGTCACCTGAGTTCAGGGAGGAGCCCCTGGAGAAGTCACTCCAAGCCACAGAGTGAAGCCACATGGCAGCAGCGGCACCATTTCTGCCAGCACGAGGGGAAGGAGACTGCTGCTAACCCAAACCACTCCTCCACAGGGAGATTTTGGTGAAGTCTGGAAGGAGAAGGAAAGAAGGAAGCGCCACATTTTGTCCCAAACTAACACACCAGTTCAGGATGTCCCCCCTGGGTGCAGAGTTGCATTTCAACCCTTCCAAAAGAGTAATTGCAAGAGTAACCAGGGCAAGGTGTACAACACCAATATCTTACCTTCAGCTCTGTGCTGAAGGACATGCTGCATAGAAGAGCAACGAAATAATCCAAAATAATCCTGCCAAAGAACAATTGTGTCCCCAAAAATATAGTTCTACAAAGAAAATAATCATGCTTTCATTAAGAGATTAAATCAATCCAACCCAGCAAGGCACTATCAATATGAAATAGCATACATTCCCATCACTCCCATCCACAGACCCTGTTTTCCTAAATATTTGCAAATAGATCAAATGGTGCCAGAGCCCCTTTTTTAGATTACAAAAAAAAGTCACCTTTTTTCAGGGATTAATTATTAACTATACTAAGGAGAAATTGCAGCAGCCAACAATTATCTTATTCTCTCAAGTCCTATTCACAGTGAAGATGATATTGTATGGAAATTTATCCTGCATAATTATCACCATATGCTGTCTCAAAGGGTTCCAATGCACTTTAGAAATAGCACAATACTGGCTCAGGTACAAGCCAAACCTTGTCCTCTCTGCATCTGCAGAGAAATCACTGTGGCTTTTCTTCACTGTTCAGATACAGCCCTGGCTGGAAGTGGTCTGGAGCACTGGCAAGGAGACAGGACCATGTTTCCTGCAGAGGACCATTGCTCCAGGGCCCTGATGCACTTGGAGCCTGCAGAACTCTCTGCTTGCAGTGCCACAGCAGGAGAGCACACACTTCAACAAGCCATTCCCATCCCTCACCACATGACAACTAACTCTTGCTCTGTGGGTAGCCACTCCACTACCTAGGATTTAGGGCACATGATTTAAGCTGCTCTACATTTATTTTTTTCAGGGCCTGCAGAAGAGCTCTATTTCTTCATCTCACATATTTCTAACTATCCTGGAAATTTTCAGGCAGAAGGCAGATGCCTGAGGAAATATCACTCCATGATATGCAATGAAGATGGAATTCTGTATACCTAAGTACTTAAAAACATAAATACATAATGGAGATGTTTAATTCATCGTGTATAGCTCATTGACTGACAATAAGTTATTGATCTATTATACTTTGAAAGCATATTTTTACTTACATAAATTGTCCCTTTCTGACTGGGACTGAACACAATGTCTATTTTCCCCAGTGAATACAGGCTATGGTTTAAAGCAGAGGGGATAATCCTGAGCCCATCCCTGTCCTGGTCTTTTGCAATGGTTGTGTTGGGCTGTGGACTTTGCCTTAGCAAACTGGTGCCCTAATGGAGTTGGTTCAGAGCAGCCCATATTCATCTCTCCCCTCCTCTTTGCTGGTAGATTGACCTGCTGACATTCAACTAGGAAGGAGTCACATAAAGACCCCTCAGGTTACAAATGACTCCCACAAATTTAATTTCCATCTCCCTGGATTTTGGCATCAGAGCTGAAAGAGCAATGGTGATATTTGACTTTACACACAGAAGGACCCACGAAAGTAAGGTCACTGTTTCCTCATTTTCCTAAATAGAACTAGTTTGAAGGCAGTAAAAAAATCCCACATCTGAATACTTAATATTCATAAGAGGTTTCGTTTTATTTCAACAACCTTGAATAAATGATAGAGAATGTGATAGCACTGTGGTCACAGTTTATTCTAATGAGCAAAACACTTCATCATTGGGGAATAAATGTTCTACCTCAGCAAAAAAAAAAGTTAATCCCCAAACAAATTTATTACTTAGAAGAAAAATTCACTTAAAATTGTCCCATTAACTCTGTAAAAAGAAAGTAGGTAGTTTATATTGTATCATAGATTTTCAAACTATCCTGCAGTATATTTAGCTGAAACAGCTTGAGTGAAAACTGGGAATAAACATTAGTTTCTGCAGTTTGAATATCACCGTGGAATTTTCCTAGCTGTACAGTGCAGTACACAGTACACCCCGTTCACAGTATTTTACAAGCTTCTTCCCTCTGAAATGACACATATGCTGGGAAAAGAACTGACCTTCGGTTGAATTTACAACTCAGATTGATCTGTCTTCTCCATGTCAAAACCTTTGGTTTTTTGACCTACCAACACAAGCAGATCCTTTTTACATTACTCAACCCTGCTATCTGCAGCTCTCCAGTGAAGTCATTACTCCTCTACCTGAGGACAGCATGCTTGGCAAATTTTTCACATCCTGGCAGGTCCTTTAGGATCCATTCCCAGCTTAACAAGAATTTTAAAGCTCTTTGTTCCAGAGAATCCCCTTGCCAGTGAATCCCGAGTGGTGTTCAGAAAGCATGCACTGTCCTCAGCCTTGCAAGATACATCTCCAAATCTCCTCCTAGGAGCAAGCACCTTACAGTGTTCCAGTCACAGAGCCTTGGAGGTTAGATTTGCTTTTCTACTTCTGTTTATACAGGGGTGACATCTCCTTTGGAAATGCACCATGAACTCCTCCATTTATGAACATGCCTACAACACCTGGCACTGGAGTGGTTTCTCTTCGTATCTCACCTAGATTTTTGTTTTCCATAGTGAGACAGTACACTGGATTTTTATTTTTAATTTAATAGATCATATTTAGTGAAGGGGAAAGCTTTGCAACTGGAAAAGAATGGCAGGAATGTCAGATAATTAGTGCAAATTCCTAATCACTTGTAAAATCAAAAATTAAAAATACAATTTTGAATTTTAATGCCCCTTATGTATTGGGACTGAATTGATCCATCTTTTATATAAAATGAGCAGAAAAAAATCCTACAGAATTTTTTTAATTAACAAGAGGATGGATGCATGGATTTTACTCGAGATTTTTGCTGCAGGAAAGATGGATTAGAAAGCTTTCAGGGTAGGACTCTTTCATTCTTGGTATGTAGAACACATATAACATGACCATGAACCTCATAGCAATATAATATGCTAGTGAAACATTCTGGAATTGAGGACAAAATTAAATTATTCATTGTTGAGATGTACAGAATTTCCATAGTGCAGAAGACACAATGCAGATTTCTCTACCACTCTTTTCCTAATCTAAGCAAGCAGCTGCCATGCTATTAATTTGAATTTATCACATATTCCAGTTGATTTTATTAGGTTTATTGTTACTGGTGATGATCTAACCTCCACTGTGTTTCTCTAGGATAAAAATATGGAAAGAGAGTAGCTGATACCCATGAGAACAAAGATAAATTAGTGGAAATAAATTATCCAGTTTCACGTATCAAAGTTTATTGGAAATAAAAGCAAGAACATTTATCAAAAGGTCTGGAGAACACGTGATCCTTGACTGTCAGTCTGTATTCATTTACAGAAGATTTATCATTCTCAGGGGCTTAATACATTTTTACAGTCACTTGACTAGATAGTCATTAATCATAGTACATTTTCAAGATCCTAACTAAACTACAAATTCAAAAAGTAATAATTAAAATATTTTAAATTGTGTCCTTATGAGTCTTGATTCAAGGGGCACCTGGGGACATGCCATAGTTGCTAACAGGTTTGCTTATCTACCTGATTACAGTTAATCATCTTTCTGAAAATCATCTGTACCTTTCAATTTCATTGCATAAAAGAAATCTGGATCAAAAGACTGAATGAATTCACGAGTGCCTTTTCACTGACTTTAATTGACTCTCTGGTGCTTTCAGTAAGAGCAAATAGTGTGACCACCCAACTCACAAACTAAGCAGCAGCCCTAGAAAATTAACAGTAAAAGGGGATGATTTCTGTACACAGAGCAAGTAAACAGCCCAGGGTCTTTCTAACTTGGAAAAGAAATAAGAATATACCTAGAGCTGCACCAGACCTTAGGGCACTGCTGTTAAAATGCTTCCCAAGCATCACTCCCTGGCTGTGATCAGAGACAGGATAGAGAGCTCTGGGGCCCTCACTGACTTGTCTGTCTGTAGCCATCATTCCTGCAGAATTCCACAGTTCTGTTTCTTTACTGACCAGGAATTAATCAAGAAATGTTCTTCTTGACAATAAACTTTTTAACTGATTCGTAATAAATTTTGAAGAATGGGAAAAGTTGCTGTGCTGATATTGTTATTTTTAAAGCATTTTCTGTATTCTTTCTCTATCTTTGCATTCTACCAACATTTGACTTCTTTCAGCATCATCTTCCCTGATTCTCACTCCAAGTAAACAGGAAAAAATATCAGATATTATAATAAACATCATACAAATTATAAAAGGAAGCTGTTCTGTGCTACACATGAATAAAAGGCCTTTGCTATAATTAGTCTGCAGTGTAGAGAAGAAGCAAAAAATAGAAAAAGAAAATAAAACACAGGAGCTCAGAAATTAACAAGACAACACAGCATCTAATGGTGTTATAGGTCAAAATCTTTGCAAAAGGAATTTTCTTTTTCTGGGCAGAAAGAATTGGTGCATTCCTGAATTTTGTATTAGGGTGGCAACTAAAAGCCAATCCATCTGTTCTTTTTCACTCTTACTGGTACCTGAGGAGAACAGCATAGGCTTCATTAGAGTCCTCTCTGTTGGAAGATGCAGCTAAAAACCTGGGCATCCAAAAGTCACTAAACCTGAAGCAAATTTTAGGCCTTCCAGAAGCAGTTGTTTCATGTCAAAGTCAATTCTGGATCAATCAGCTCATAGTTCTCAAATGTTCATTGGAAATTCATGCCTGTGCTTGTCAGGCCAAGGCAAATTAGAAGCACTTTGTGCAGTTTGGAAAAGCCACTTCCCAGAAAACTTCTGATTACCCTGTTTGCCACACCACAACTGGCAGAGACATACTCCTACATAGGAGTATGACATAGTCCTACAAAGGGCAACAGTATGAAAGGAATTCCTGTCCTTTTGAGAATTTTTTTTAATTATCTAAGGCCCATGGACAGAATTCTCTGCACCCAAAGTGTTCCAGATCCTGTAAAAAGGAACATACAGTGCAAACTCAATGGATTT